GAAGAGGAGACTGAGGGGTGACCTTATTAGTGTCTATAAATATATAAAGGGGGAGTGTCACGAGGATGGAGCCAGGCTCTACTCGGTGGCAAACAATGATAGGACAAGGGGTAATGGGTACAAACTGGAACACAAGAGGTTCCACTTAAACTTGAGAAGAAACTTCTTCTCAGTGGGGGTGACGGAACACTGGAACAGGCTGCCCAGGGAGGTTGTGGAGTCTCCTTCCCTGGAGACATTCAAAGCCCGCCTGGACACATTCCTGTGTAACATTATGTAGGTGTTCCTGCTCCGGCAGGGGGATTGGACTAGATGATCTTTTGAGGTCCCTTCCAATCTCTAGCATACTGTGATACTGTGATACTGTGATACTACAGGAAAATGCCCAGATTTACCAGAAAAGTGCTAGTCTACAAATCCATGACTTAGTGCTATAATTCCTCAAACATAGGGTTTTTTGACAATTCAATGAGAAGTGCCAATATAACATGGGAATTGCTTTTCCAAGTTTAAATACTCGCAGCTGACTAAAGCAATGCTACTTTGGACCAAAGAACAACACTCCTGCAGGAACACAGACCTAACCAAATGATCTTCGAAGCAGAAGGGAAGACTACTCACACCCTGAGGCACTAGTAATTGTAATGCAATAGTATTTCTTTCTATAGCAGTTGATACATGCAGCAGACACATGTATTTGCATTCAATATATATTCTTACACCCTTTCGACCCACTTCTTAAAAATATTAGAAGCATTTAGTCATCTTGTTTTAGCTTTTAAACATCAAGACTACTACAGCTCAATGAACTGTCACCAATTAGATGAAATATTTTTCTGCACTCCATCAATATTCAGTATTTTTTTCACCTGGACAGAGTAAAACACACACTACATGTTCACACAGGTATGTCTACAACTTAACCACAGAAGAAACATTCCAAAGACTGCAAAGTTGCACAGAAGTAAGCCAGTATTCTGGTGTCATTATAAAAGAAAAGAAGACTAAGATTCTGTAATGTTAATTATAAAAACTTATTAAAAAATACTTTTATTACCCACCTTAACAGCTTCAGGTGGCAACCAGAACATAACAAAAATACGTATCATTGACACATCAACTTAATATAGGAGAACTTACTTCCATAGGCAATGAACTAGGCTATCAAATCAGCAGCAGAAGGCAACTAATATGCACTGCAAAATGCTAGCAATTTCTGCTTATATTCAACCATACTATTTTAATTCATTTTAATTTAGTTCAGCTAACACAGAAATGCAACTAAAAGCAAAAGAACAATGGACTACTGAAATTAGAATAAATTTTAAAGGAAGGTGTTTTCTCCTTCCTTTAGAATTCAATAGACCATCAGCTTCAGAAATCAAAACAAAGGATTTTTTATCTTCAGGCTACAATTCCCTAATCTGAATTTAGGATTGCTAAAGACTCACTGCAGGATGCTGTTAAGGGCAAAGGCCAATGGTGGAGAAAGTGAAGTATCAAAATTATTGTAGTGTAACAAGCATGGGAAAAGATACAGAAGGAGGACATAAGGGGCTGTTGTGAATTAACATGCTGCTGGTCAGTACACTTAGCTAGCTGAAAGTGCAGCTGCTGACCTCCTCCAGATCCTCCAGTCCACTAGGCTCAACTAACATTAGCAGTAAGAATCTGGGGTTTTGGTAAGTTATTAGGAAACAAAATGTTTCTGAATTAATGCTCACATTATTTGGCATCTTGAAAACCATGCGGTTAGTACACCTGCACATTCCTGGTAATTGGTTTGTTATAAGAAACTGCACAGCAAGGTGTTTTAGCTAAGCACTGCTCTAGCACACATCCCTAAAATACAGTTTTAGAAACATTTTCAGTGTGGCACTAGAATTCTTGTACATATATATATATATACACACATATATACGTGTATATATATATATACCTGCAAAATTCACCCATCACTTCTTATGGTTATTATAAAGCAGGATTGCCAATACATTCTCTTCTTACACTGTACAATCTGGTTCAGGTAAAGGACAGGCAAAAGCATGGTCAAACTCTGAACTGGTTTTAGGAACAGAAAAGGAAATCAGTTTTATTTACTGTTACCTTATTGCTGTTCATTCTCACAAAATTTTCCCTTCTACACCCAACTTTTGGGATTTCTCCAACAGTATCAATAAATTCAATGAGGCTGACTTGCAATCTTCCTAACCAAGCTAGAAAAAAACTAGCAGAAATTTGTCAAGGAAATACTTTTTCTTTATGAGTCATGCAGACTGAACAGATTTAGATAAAGGTTTACATCAAGCTCACAATTTTGGATGGGTTTATTCACTTTATTTATAACTCCAGCTGAATTTACACTTTGATACATTTTGACACACTCTGAATACCTTCCACAATCAATAATAATGTTGATTACTGTCATGTAAAGTCATAAAGTACATTAATCAGAAGACACATCTTGTATCCTGGTAGAGGATATACTTCTTTTAACCAAACTTTGATGCTGCTTCATAATTGTCATTTACCCTTCACTGTGATTTGAATTCATCTATCTAGCAGTGCACGAAGCTGTTCAAGAGTTTCTTGCCAGCAAGAGCTCATTACAAGTTCAGGAAATCCAACAGAATCTTTTTCTGTTTGTCCATGCCCTCTGCATGCAGTTCCCAATTCATGGATAATGTTACACAATTGCTGGCTCAGTTATTCTATTAGTTGCAAAAGAAACAAAAAGCAAATATTTTAAGGTAAGTATCACTGCAACGAGGTGCTGAACATTTTAATGGATGAAACGTAGGCAGATGTCACACTTCTTACAAAGCCATATATGTCTGCTGGAAATCCTAGAAAATATCACTTCCTTACTAATTTATTTTGAAAAATTTGCCCATATACACATGTAATGTCATAAATTCATAAATCTGCTGATTTCAAGTTTATTGTTAACAAGGTCAGAAGAGGTGTGTGACCCACCAGAAATACATGACAATGAATTTTATCTTAATCAACAGTGACAGCGTTGGGAATATGAAAATCATGGGCTTTAGATATATCTGGTTTTGTGTATATTATGTCATCTATTAAAAAATATAAGTTAGGCATTGCTTCATTCCCCATACTCCAGTTCCAAATGGGGACAGTTATCTCAAGCAGAATACCGATTATGCTGCTGCATTAACAAAACCAGGCATGCAGAGCTAAATCAAGCAAATGTCTGCAATGCACTTCATTCTGCTATGTGAATCTACGCTGCCTGTTAGAAAGGACATAGGACATTTTAAAGGATTGATGCATTTTAGGGAAGGAATCATGACTTACATGCAAAGTCTATATTTTTTCTTACATTGGCTAACTACTAAATTATTAATGAAATAACGTTTTTTCTTTGAGTAGGTTCTACAGTTGACTGCGTATCTGTACCATTTTCACTTACAAATCTTCATGGAATAGACAATTTTAATCCTAACAGGGGATCCACTTTTGTCAAGATACAGAGATTCTCCTGAAGCAAGTCACTCCCTTATGAGGTTGTAGTCTAAAGCAACGTTTCTTAATCCAATGGGAAAACATACCTTTTAGTAACAAACAAATGTTAAATCCTAAAAATTGGATAAGCCAAAGCATGAGAGGATCAAGGAGTTCTCAGGGTGAATGTGAGTATTTCTGTATAAATCTAGCTGATCTGATTGTGGAAAAATGTGTGGAACCCACTGAAGACCTTTTGCAAAGTGACCATTGGTATTTGAATCACCAGAGTATCTATAACATGGAATTTAACATGGAATATAACACAACTTTTAGTGTGAAATTTCGAAAATACATTGGTTTAATATGAAGATATCACAGTAGGCCAACCTTATCACATATGAAATGTTCTCAGAGTACAAAGATAATGCAAGATTTTTCAGCAATAGGGTCTAGGGGTTTTGTATCTTTGGAAAGAATCTGGAGAGCATTTCTATTGCTCTTACACAATACCTTGTTTTTCTAACATCCTCATGAAGTGTATGCTGAGTCAAGTTCTCTGGCAACCAGAATAAAACCTAACCATTGTTCCTTAAACTACAAACCATCCTGCAATTCCTCCAGATTGTGTCAGCAAGGCAGTCACTGAAACTGGGGGGAGGGTAGGGGGGGATGTGCTAGCAGCCACCACTGTCTTCACCTCTGCCACCAAAGTCACTCTAACACAGAGTGTCCTGGGTTCAGCAGTAGCAGTCATTTTTCTCATTCTTAGTAGCTGGTGCAGCGCTGTGTTTTGACTTTCGGCCTGGGAACAGACCTGATAACACTGTTCAAGTCTGGCCAAGGACTTTGTGAGCCTCATGCTCTGCCAGGGAGGAGGGGAAGCCGGGAGGATGCGGAGACAGGACACCTGACCCAAACAGACCAAAGAAGTATTCCATACCACATGCCCAGGACGTAACAGAGAGTTATCCGGAAGGGCCAGGGCACTGTGGTGTTGGATGAGGTTGGTGCTTGGTCAGGCTGGGGGGGTTGAGTTATCGGTCGGCTGGTGATGAGGGGTTGCATTCTTTCCCCTTGTTATTTCCCTTATCATTATTATTGTTGGTGGTAGCAGTAGTGATTTGTGTTATACCTTAGTTACTAAACTGTTCTTATCTCAACCTATGGGAGTTGCATTCTTTTCGATTCTCCTCTCCTTCCCTCCGGGAGTAGGGGGAGGGCAAGAAAGGGGGGAGTGAGTGAACAAGCTGTCTGGCTGGGTTAAAACCATGACACAGAGCCAAAAGCAAACAGATGTTCTTGGTTTTGCTCATATTCTTTGCACACCTGGCAAGTACAGTAAAAGCTGCATTTTAATGTGGTGTTTAATATTAATGAAATGGGAAAGATGATGCACTCATTGTTAAACAAACAAAAAGAAACCCTGAGCAACAAGTCAATAAAAACAAGAATTAAGAAGCCCAAAGGTTTATATTCTTACTCTCACTCCATAAGTCATGACAATAGCATGCAAAGCAAATATGCCTTACCAAGTTCTGTTACGTAGTTTTTTCCTTCTGAAGGTAAAGGAATGTACTGATTAGAAAAGAAACTGCTTCCATAACCCAGGACAAAACCTTCTAGTCTGGTGTTTTGACTTGCTCGAAGATACCTCATGCAAATGGTGTCATCTGTTGCATTGATCTGAACTTTTAGACTCTGCCTTTTCACTGGGGAAGAAGTGAAAAAAAGAGATCAGAATGTATTATCTTGTAATCATATAATTAGTAACGGACTATGACAATATAATAATATAGGTCTGTTTAATTTGCTAGTTGCAAGAGACTGAACAATTGCTTAAACATGGATTCTTCTGGAAGCTCAGTGTATTTTAAAAAAAGAAAGCTAATAGTCATGCAAAATCGTGGTTTCCAATACATACATTTTTTCATTAGCTTAGTATTATCATTAGGTGCAACATATTTTACAACTGCAGTAGAAAAGGAGAAGTGTATGAAGTAACTGGAAAAAAAATACAAGTATTTTTTCCTTTAAATCTTTAAATGCGAGACTTACAGTAAACCTAGCCAGTCATAGGAGCCATAGGTAAAAAAAATTTCAAGTTTTTTTCTTGTTAGTAAAAAACATAGATTTTTAACATAAAGCTAATCACACAGCCAAATTAGGGAAGAGGATAAGTAGTAACTATATCTAAATTAAAATGCTACGATTTTTTTTTTTTCCTCCCACATTGGGCTGAAATGTAATTTTCTAATTGGAATTACAGCAGGACACCTCACTAGCATATATAGGTTACTCAAAATTACCAAGAAACCTTTTTTCTTAGAACAACACAGAATGACTTCATAACAGACTAAGCAATTTTTTTTAGGCTACAAGAAGGTGTTTTGTCTTGCCTTGGTGGGGTGAGGGAGGATGGTATTTTCATTCCTTGTACATACAATTTTAATATTACCTTGTCTCCTGGGTTTGGCAGTTGTCACTGTTAAGCTTATCATATTTTCAGAATATGAGAAACTGTTAAATGTCAATGATAAAAGAAGTAATGACTTTCCCCAAAACTTATGACACTAGCACTAGAATTATATGTTTTGGGTTATTATTTCCCTTCTCATTCTCAAAATACAGATTTTTATTCCCAACAGATTTTCAAGCATCTCTCCAATCATGAGAGCTGAAATTAAGTTTTCAGAAAAAAACCAGAAATTTGCACAAAATCATTTTACTTCAGGAGCTAAATCCTGAAGAAGAACAATGAGATGTATGATCTGTCATTACTTAACAAGGGAGAGTGATGTTGAACTTCTTTGCCATTCCTGTCCCTCACTCTAAACCCTTCTTTCCTTTTTTTTCTCTCTCTGTAATTGCATACTGATATTCAAAATTTCTCTAGACAAGTACATATTCACTGTCTGGTATCACCCCATAACCTCTTTTGTTTTCTTTTGGAGAAATTATAATGACAGGAGTTGCCAAGAGGCCACAATCCCCGGTTTGTGAAAATGATTTAGTAGCACTGTTGATCACCTGCAGTTGGCTGCATGCCAAATATAAAGATCCACGCCAAACATTTTATGCCTCTTCCCTTTATAGAAAGAAGCATACAAGTAAAACTGATGGAAAACACGTGCCTCTGAGGAGATCCTTCTTTTATCTAAAGACTGATCAAGCAAAAGCACTCAGCCAGGAAAAAGTCACGGTTTTCCAAAGGCAAATCTGCCAGGTTCCAGAAGACTGAAAGACTTCTATAAAACTCAACTCTCTGACATTTTCAGCAATACAATACCATCACAGGGAAAGGTGTGGCAGTTGCCTCGTTATCTGGGAGACATCCTCACTTCTTTTATATTCAGTATATGGAGCTGCTGTGGGTATGCAACTTTGGATATCAAGAAGTTTCCAAATAGCAAAAAAACAGGAAGCCCAAGACTTCAAAACCCTTTAATATACTTCATAAAGATGCCTAGTAAAAAGTGTTCCATGCCAAAAAAGTTTAAGATATTATTCTTGATTGACAGTGAACTAGATTTGTTAAAATTACATAGTCTGCAAAACTCCAACCTAACTTTGGAGAGATGAGTATAAATGAAAAGATGGTCTCCTGGTTCCACTGAATATACATGTCTAAGAACAGAGCACTTGATTCAAATATGATAATTCTATTCCTCTTAAAACTGGATTTTTGAAAAAATATTGAAATTTAGAAAAAATTCAAGAGTTTGTTTTTGTTTTGCTTGGGGTTTTTTAACACAATTGTTGCTATATACCTCAGTTGTACTTTACATTAATTTGAAGACTTAATTCTAATTCAAGATTGAATTCAAGTAGGTTTGATTCCAATTAGACTGATACTGTGTTTTATTCATAAGTAGTCAATTCAAATTACAAGATGTCTTGATGTTTTTTAAGCCGTGAATTAAGCTCTCCGTGAATTTTCTGAAACCAGAAATGGGATCTAAATGGGATCCCAATACAGCAATAGCTTTGAGGTAGGATACTTTAGATCTTTTCTTTGTAGCTAGCATACCAAAAACACAAGACAGCTTTTAAACTCGAAGCCAGTTCTAGCAGAATAAAAATAGGAATAATGTATTTTTAAGAATAGAGAATAAGGCAAAAGAAAAGGAGATTAACTTCAAATATAAAACATAAATCCTTGTCCTCCCCACCTTGTCTTGACATGGCAGTTTTTTTTCCTCTACTTCGCTGTTAAGTACAGGATGTTTTCAGCGGATTTGTGGCCTGGATGGCCAAAAATAGTGCAGGGTCCCCCACAGTTCTTAGGAAAAAAAGATCATATAATCACAGAATCATCAAGGTTGGAAAGACCTATAGATTGTATATAAGGAAAAAGTTCTTTACAGTAGGGGTGTTGAGGCAGTGGAATGGATTGCCCAGGGAAGCTATGAATGCTTCATCCCTGGCTTTGCTCAAGGCTAGCTTGGACAGCGCCTTGGGTGACATGGTTTAGTGTGAGGTGTCCCTGCTCATGGCAGGGGGGGTGGAACTAGATGATCTTAAGGTCCTTTCCAACCCTAACTATTCTATGATTCTATGAATTAGTGGGATGGTGATAACTAAAGCAACGTAAAGCTTCCAAAAACAACAGCAAGGATAAAAAGGGGGGGGGGAAAAGAAAAGAAAAAAATAATTACAACTAAATAAAGTCATCTTATCAATTTTATCCAGTGCTGTTTCTAATAAGGAAGGATCTGTAGTAATTTTGGGCATGGATATTTCCAACTCGGTATATCTCCAGCTGCATTGGTGTTATAGTGGTTAGCATAGGTGTTTACGGCCACACACCCTGCCACTCACGACTGTCCAGCCTTGGGGAAAATCTCTTGGTACTCCTATATCATTGTCTAACCCTAGACAAGACCCAAACCTGACTGATTAACTTTCGAGATCAGACAAAATGGTAGTGGGTAAAACACACTCTGTATGTGTGCCAACATGCTGATCCCCACCACAATCAGCAGGCAGGTCTCAAGGCTACCCAAAGGCCATTCAAAACCTTCTGAACTCTCAAAGGATGCTATACATGGTTGGGGGGGGGGGGGGGGGGGGGCACTGGAATGGTAAACGAATGTCTCCTTCACAGGTTGACCATCCGAGGAGGGGAAAAAAGATGTGTAATTGCTAAACACTTCTGTTATATACCTCCTGAAGTACAGAGGTGGTGACCACAATGGGAACACAAGCCAAATATGAGACAAGAGTGATGGCATATTTAAAATGTGAGATCTCAGCATGACATGAATGGTATGGAATAAGGGGTGGATACTATCCTGGGTTAAGCAGTAGTAGTCATTTTTCTCCTTCTTAGTAGCTGGTGCAGTGCTGTGCTTTTGACTTTCAGTCTGGGAACAACGCTGATAACACCGATGTTTTTAGTTGCTGCTTAGTAATGTTTACTCTGACCAAGGACTTTCTGATTCTCATGCTCTGCCAGGGAAGGAAGAGGGGAAGCCAGGAGGAAGGAGAAACAGGACACCTGACCCAAACTGACCAAGGAGGTATTCCATACCACAAGCATGTCATGCCCACTATATAAAATGGGGGTAGTTACCCAGAAGGGTTAGATCACTGCTCGGGTAGGGCTGGGTATCAGTGGTGAGCAGTTGTATTCTCTCCCCTTGTTATTTCCCTTATCATTAATATTATTGGTGGCAGCAGTAGTGGTTTGTGTTATACCTTAGTTACTGGACTGCTCTTATCTCAACCCGTGGCAGTTACATTCTTTCGATTCTCCTCCCCATCCTTCCAGGAGTGGGGGAGGAGGAAGTGGGGGAGGAGTGAGAGAGCACCTTTGTGGTTCTGGGTTGCCGGCTGGGCTTAAACCATGACACCAAGGTAAGAGAGGCCATTACGCTGAATCACCTTCTCTCTTCTACCACTAGTGCTACAACAAAGGTTCTCTATTGAAGTTAGAAGAATCCAAGTTTACTGGGAATCATAGCTGTTGAGTGAGAGCACTTGGGATCCAGAGAGTGAAAGGCTACATAGGAGACAAAACCAGAGAACAATGAGGACAGAAGGAAGCCAGCAACAGAAAGTGCTGTCTGTTGTGGCAGACCTACCACTGCACAGTAGTGGACTCTTTGTAGGGAATACAAACTGTCTATGGATTCTTTGTATGGAATAACATCTCTCCCCAAATCAGGTCAGTGTGCTACATAGTCACAAATCCAGATCTTCATCCTGTCAAAAGATCTTCCCAGAAGCCCTTGCACTCTTATAGCACCCCACTTTTGTGCCCATGTACACACAGTAAACTTCTTAGCAACACGCTATAAAAATACAAACACAAAAGGATGTGAATCAACCCTCTTTTTTTTACAGATGAGTACATTATAAATAAATAGTTCTTAAAAAATAAAAAAAAACAGTTAAAATGTTCCAGACTCAAGGAGGTCACATGATCACATGAGTTCAAAGGAGACCTGGACCCTTATCAACAAATTCAAGCATTTCCCAAGTCTAAAAGGAAAAGACAGTTTTGTGCAGGAGACTGTAACTCCACTATGTGGGTCTGAATTAAAAACAAACAAAAAAGCCTCCAATGAAAACATAAGAAATTGCAACTCATGTTAAGACCTATGAGGAAGGCCCACATGGTCTCTCATAATTGCTGGAGCAACCAAGAGGAGTACACAGTAGCAGAGGGGCCTCTGCAGCCAGATGAGGAGACCTCCACCCTGTGTAC